GATATCGTCCTCTTTTGGAAGGTCAAACAAAGTAGTTTCGCTTTCACACCGAATCACACAGTGCCTTCACGACGTGGCGGCGGCAACAACAATACTACAGCGAGAATAAGTTATGCCTTCTTTCTTTGCGTGAACATTTGGGCGGCGTTATGCAAATCTTCCCAGATAGTGACGTAGGTATGTGGGGGCGTGTTAGAACGAGCCGTTTTAGGTAGGTGTGGCTGACTCTTAACTTTTATAAAGAATATCTTATCTATATGACCCCTTTAAGACATTACTGAAGTGAACAGTGATGTCGATATGGCTTTGTCTTTATAAATACATTATTGAGAATTTATGGAAATCATATATATTACAGAGATTTCTCTGTCCTTACAGTTGGAGATAAAGTCATGGTTGGTGACAGGAGACAGTCTGTCAATGGAGTTGCTTAACACAGAAAGAGGGAACCGAAATATAGCACTGAGCAGAACACAAGAGCTCCAGAAGACATCAGCCGCCCAATACAAAACCGTAAGAACCGTCTTTACTACTCCTTTACTGTCCGTTACCAAAACTTGTAAATGTATCATATCAGAGTCATTTTCTATGTAATGGACAGCATTACACAGGGCTTAACTTGTCTTTATGCTGGAATATTCGTTAACAAAGAACAATAACTCTGTATATCATAATAAATATCTGATAAAAGTATTTATAATCCACATACAAAATAGGGGACGCTGGGCAATATTGGAATTTTTATGCAAAATGATGTATGTTTGTATTTTTATACGAAATGTAAAGAAATTGACTTACCACCTGAAATGAGACACTCCCCTACAATAAACGTTGATTAAATTTTATTTTACGAAACTGTTATATATGTATTATAAATATTTTATGATCTTTATTTATGTCAGTGAAAATAATGCAGATATTAAAGATTGGAAACGTAACTCATAATCAAGAGGAGCCATACATGGCTATCTCAGTGTACAGATTGGATTATATCTGCAGGCAGTCATAGGACTTCCGGTGGATTCTTTGCATGTCCATACTTGTGGTAAAATTGCAGAAGTGTTGCAAGATTTGTGGTTTTGGATTACTGCAAGCAAAGGTTTTATTTTAGACATTTTTCATTTTTTAAAGACCCAAAGTAAGGCAATGTAAACCGAATGGGACAGTTCACATAGAAATGTTTCAGTTAGACTGTTGTCTGTTGTATACTTAAGAATACAGTTACACTGGAGTATGTATGTTTATTTAGGAAAAGCAGGATGGCTACAGAACTGTCATTTGTATGTGTAGGTGTTCATAACTCCATATTGCATATCTGTTTTCTCACAGGTCATTTTAGCCTCCGGCTACTACGCAGCATTTAAAGTCACTTTAGTAGCTAAAGCTCTAGAGGGAGTTTATGATGGAGCAGTACATATTACAACAGACTATGAGGTATGTGTTTCATCCAGAAAACATCTTTCCCAAAAATGGTGCAGGTTGTTGCGCCAAAGCTGGTGCTCGGGAAGGGGGGTCTGTGAACCTTGAAACTTGAAATCAGTAACACCAAATATTGATAAAAATTTATAAATATGTATGTGTATATATGTAAGTATATAAGAATGACGTAAAAAAACAAATAGAACGTTCTCATTATAAATCAATGACTGTGTTGTCACACAGATCCATTTTTTTGTACATGTGTGTATATATTAGGGGTGTAACGGTACACGTATTCGTATCGAACATTTTCGGTTCGGTACGCATGTGTAGCAAACAAATACAGCATTGTTTTAACCACTGCACGAGTGGACCTCCATTGGAAACTTCCAGTTATATTGTTATTTTTGATAAGAAACAAAGTCTCATCTTTAAAATTATGTAATTTTTTTTCAAGAAATTCAAGCAATAAATGCCGTTTTGACACTCTTTGATGCGGCGTGACAGATCACTGTATAAACGCCTCAGTTCAAATGGCAGCGTGGAGCATGAGTGAGTGAGATCATCCTCTTTACTACTAGTTTTAACGTGAAATAAACATGAATGAACATCTCCTTCCTTATGTAATCGCTCAATCAGTGTTTCAACCACGGAAAGACGGCAATAAAACAGCTTGTAAACAAAATGTCACGTAGCATTTCCTTTACCTTAGGCAAGTGATCAGTGTCCACAGCTCGTTAGTGCGCTAGGGAAAAGAAGTGCAGAGAAGAGCATTTCATGAAATATTAGACTTTATAATCATTATATTTTACTTACCTGTTAGTGATGTCTTAATTATTTAATGTATGCTTAAATAAATCTGTTATCAAACAAGTTAGGAGAGCCACTGTGTAAATGATCATATTTCAACAACAAATATTTTTTTTTATAATCTAGAAGTTAATTTAAAAACATTGTACACTTTTTGCATACATAAAAAGCAATTTTATGTTTAGTTTTCTCCCTGCTGTGTACTGAAACCGTACCGAACCGTGACGTCAAAGCCGAGGTACATACCGAACTGTAATGTTTGTGTACCGTTACACCCCTAGTGTGTGTGTGTGTATATATATATATATATATATATATGATTTTTTTTTTTTTTTGGTACACGCACATATATATGAAAATATACATAACACTGTGGCAACAATCAAACAATGCTTTCCAAACCTTCAGTTTATCTGTGTCTATTTCAGATATTAACCATCCCTGTAAAGGCTCTCATAGCGGTAGGAACATTAAGCTGTTCACCCAAACAAATCATTCTTAACCCTTCATTCCCGGTAAGTTTGCAAAAACAAAAATCGTCTCTTTCTTTCTTTTTCTTTCTTTCTTTTAAATTCTCAGTGTCCTTTTCAAAACCATATGTCATATCATTTTGTCTGTAGTTTTTTTTATTTTAAATAATGGTTCAAAACTACCTGCTCATTGAGATTTCAAAGTACAATCTCGGTAATGCAGATGTATTGTAGATGTAATGTGAGCATGAGTGATTCATCCCTGCTTTTACCCCCAGGCACTGTTTGAACACCACTCCCTGTGGCCAGTGCCATGTGCTAACATGACCTGTTTTGCAAACCACTGTTATTTTAAAACAACAACAGACCATTCATTAGGTTTAGGACCATTTCAGAATGATTTTCATCAGCTGTTTTATTTATTTATTTTTACATTTTTTTATGTAGGGAAAAGTTGTTCACCAAGGATTCAGTATCCAGAGTTCATTCTCACAGAAAGTAAGGCTTCAGCAAATTCGCTCTCTCACAGAGGACGTCCGCTTTTACTTCAAACGACTTCGCAATAACAAAGTGGAGTTGGAACCCAGACGAAAGTCCAAGGTGCCTGTCCCAATTAAAACACTATAATGCTATACTAAATCATCCATCACTTAAATGCACCTGCCCACAGTTTGCTCAGTTTATTTTGTGCTATAACTACAATAGTACAATGTAGAAGAATTTTGGATGAATCAGATGTTTTATATCCTAAAAATTAACTTTTGTTTTTTTTTTTTACTCCTTTTCCAGATAGCAAACATTTATTTTGATGCCAGCTTGCAGTGTGGTGATCACTGTTATGTGGGATTACCGTTTGTATTGAAATGTATGCTTTCTGTATCTCAAAGTCTTTTTTTCCCTAAATTACTTGTTGTTTTTGTATGCGTTTTCATTGAATTTTCTGCTTGTGTTTTTTTTCCCCTGCAGCGGAGTCCAGGCCCCATGGTTTGGTTATGCAGGAGGACATATGGGACGCTGATGTAGATCTACATCAGCGGCTCCTGAAAAGATGGCGAGAGCTCAAAGAGCATTCAGGCCTTGAGTGAGTCTGATACATCTTGCTTTAAACCAGATTTAGATTACCATACAGTAAATGTATTGTATCTTTGATGTGATTCTCTTGTTTGTTTAGGGTTGAAGCTTTCTTCGAAGTGAACACAGATCTGCAGAAGAATGTGCAGGCCAAAATCTTAGCGCAGCTCACATGGCCCTTGCTGGTTAACTCATCACAACAGATTTATTTTCCTCTCACAAACACCAACAGCTCATCGGTGAGTGTATACACACTGTATGTCGACCGATTGATCGGTTTTGCCGATTAATCGGCACCGATAGTTGATTGCCGGATCTATCGGCTATTGGCAGAAATCCATGCCGATTGTTTTTCTGGGTTTCGTCCGTTGCTGGAGCGGCTGAGAAGGTCCACTGTCATTAGACAGTACAAGAACAGCCTCTAGAGGCGGAAAACCCCACGTGCTGTTTGTTTTGACACATGACACTGTGTGCTGCACAGAGCGGGACAATTCAGATGCGGATTTAAAACGAACAACGAAATGGTGTGTATACAGTATACTATACTGCATGTTTTCATCATTACTACGCAGTGTTGGGCAAGTTACTTCCAAAATTTAATACATTGTATATTACTTATTACTGTCTTTTGAAAGTAATTAGTTTCATTACAATATTACTGTCTCTGAATTGTAATGCGTTACACTACATTTGAGTTACTTTTGAGTTACTTTCACTTTCAAGCACAAACCGCAATTACATTCAGAAATTATAGCGGTAAATAAAGCAGAATGTTATAAGCCCTAATGTACAAACTATAAACACAGCAGCTAGCCTATAAGCTATTTTAGTTCTCCTCACTCCACAACAAATCCTTCAATGCTATGTCCTTTGTGTAGATATTTAAAGATTGCCATCTTTAAGCATGACTTTTGAAATGAAATAGTAACACTTTACAATAAGACTCCATTTGTAACATTAACTAAGGTTGATAAAAGCTGTAGAAGTATTGTTCCTTGTTAGAGTGTTAATTTTGATTAGTTGCTTCAGTTAACATTAATGAACTATGAAATAACTTTAATGATCAATATATAATTAACATTAATATTTTTTATTCATTTAGAAAGTATGGTTCAGTACTGTTTCTTTTTAATAGTAAAGCACTACTTTAGTTTTCGTTCAGTATCCATTTAAAAAACTATTGGTTGATTTATCTGTAAAATCCACTATCGGTCGATAGAGGTCGACCGATAATGGCTTTTCACTGGCCGATGCCGATATTTAGAAATCAGGGCAGCCGATGGCCGATATATGATGCCGATGTTTTTGCCCGATATTTTGGCCGATTTTCTTTCTTTTTTTTTTTTTTTTTCCTTCATCTCATAAAAGTGAGTTTGAGTAAATGATTATTGCAGGGTACAAGATAGTAATAGTAGTAGTAGCCTAATTCAGAGTAATAATACATGGCTCAAAACTTAAGCACCTTCTCAAAACAGTTCTGAAGCCTGCTTTTTGTTTATGTTTGCTGACAGTCACCAGTGTTTCCCACAGACTTGCAAATGAAAATTCATTCTCTGCCAGCAGGAGGCGCTGTTGGAGCGGGAGATATAGCGGTTTCTCCCTTTAAGAGTGCACTGGCCACGAGCGATGACATCATGGATGCTATTGTCGGACCTACACACACATTTCATGAGGAAAGTTAACGTGCACGTTATAATCAGCCCAGTAGTTTCGTCTGAATTGCATGTGTTTCTACTTTCACATGCAAATTACTTGTTGCACTTATGAATATGATAACTTTCCGGCATCAATTCTAGTAGGGTAAAACGTAATTACGCTTTCGAAACGGTCTGTTTTGCCCTGCCATCATTAGCTGAAGCTGTGTGTGAACAAGAAGCGGCTGCAGAGTGTGAGTTGCTCCGTCTCTCACGCAGCAAGAGAGAGATTATCCGGCATTCTGCAACAACGCTTAGCTGCCCGCAGATGCGCCTGCCTATAAATCGGCCTAATTAGCAGCACAATCTGCCTTTGACGATTAATTTAAAAATGCCAAAAATCGGCCGATTAATCGACGGACCGATCAATCGGTCGACCTCCTAATACACACGTCAGCTCAGTTTAACACATTTTACTATGTTTAAATCAACTATAGTATTTTCCCTCAAGTCAAATACACTGACCTGAACTTGTGTCTTTGTAGGAAGAGGAAGTGATTCTAGAAAACCCAGCTGATGTCCCAGTCTACATTCAGGTTCTTCCTGTGGCTCTTTACCCAAATCCCACCGTGTTCACAGGCAGATTTGCCGACAGGTAAGGCACTTCTTCTGCACTAAACCAGTTATAGATGTTATATGGCGCTTTTCCACTGCGTGGTATGACTCGGCTCAGCACGGCTCAGTACGGTACGGCACGGCACGGCTCGGCTCGGCTCGGTTTGTGTTTCCACTGCAGTTCAGTACCGCTTTAGAGTGGGCGGGATTATTCACATGTCGTTTATAGTTGCGCCGCCTCTACTGCTGCGACTCCTGAAAAACTTTTTCATTCCGCGTCGCCCCATCAAGCTCTTGCTGGATCCGCTCCTCTGCTATCAACGAGAGGAATGTCTGTATTTCCTCAACAGACAGCGAAACAGACACTTTTTGGTTGTTAAAAAAGGTGCGCTCGTTCAAAACAGTTGCGTTCGATCCTTCGCTGGTTGTGCTGATTTAAATCTAGCGGTTCTGTTGTGTTTGTGTTGCAAGTTCAGTGACGCAGGTAGTGACGATTCTCTCCGGCCTATCCGTGATCAGCAGAGTATACACGTCACGTTTTGGTAACAGTACGGTTCACTTGGAACCTCAACCGAGGTGGTACTAAAAAAAAGCACCGGGTACCTTGCAGTGGAAAAGCGCCAATAGACCCCTATATATGATGTGATGCGTTTTCATGTATGAAGACCTAATTATTACAGTGAGTAATAGCAAGTGTGATTTTATAAAAACAAAATATAGCTAGCTAATTCAATTGAGAAAAATAGAGCTATTTAAGTTATCTAGTGAAAATTCCTGTATTTTTTCTTATCACAATATGTATCACAGAAAGTGTCGTTTTTTTTTTGCAATATAGTGTAGCACTAATACTGATTTCATTTGATGTCTTTTTGCTGTTGTTTTTAAAGGTTTCCTTTAGGAAGGTTGTCTAACATCAACATTGACACAAATACACTGGAATTCCAGGTCCATAAAAATCATGTAAGTAACAGACTTATTGTGACCATGATATTAATTAACCATGATATTTAAACATCTTATTGTTTAATTGAATCAATTCTACTTCATTATTCTACTTTCTAAAATTCATTTCATGATATCCACCAAAATTAAGAATTCTTGTACAGTATTTGTGGTGTGTCTTTATGCTGCTAATGACTTCTGTATGTGCGTCAGTCTTCAGGGATGAAGAGTTTCACAGGATTTGTTGAAGGCTTAACTCGGCCCTATGTATACAACATGCTCCTTATGCCTGGTGAGATAAAGTCCTTCAACGTGAGGTTCAGACCCATCACTGATCACAGTGTCTCTTCTCTGCTAGTCGTCAGGTGAGCTTAGATTGCTAAAATGAACGCTGAAAATAGAATGGTGTGAGAGTACTGTTGTACATTACCCTTGTCGTGTTTGTACAGGAACAACTTGACAGTAGTAGACTTGATCGTGGTTCATGGTCAAGGCACCACAGAGAGTCTGAGACTGGCTGGTAAAGCCCCAGGTCTCGGCAGCTCTCTGAGGTTTAAGCATACAGAGGCATTTCTCAAAGACTGTTCAGAAGGTAAGTGTCAAAATGAAATCAATTTCCAGATGTTTTCATTGTTATAAACTAGTTTGAGATTCTGAACCTTTCTGTTCACATACTGCTTATGCTTACTGAATGTCTGTGTTTCTCATTTCTTTAAGCTAAAGCCAAGGAACCGAACTTCACTCTTCGAAGGACTTTCAGGCTGGAGAACACGGGGCTTCTCCCAATTCACATTCGGTCTATGGAGATCAGTGGCAGTGCATGTGAGGGTTATGGCTTCAAAGTTCTCAACTGTGAAGAATTTGCACTCAAACCAAACACTTCAAAAGACCTCGTCATACTGTGAGTAATTTCATGGTTACGTTTTGTGAGGTTTTCTGTTATACACTGTTGGTCAAATGTTTGGTCAAAATCTGTTATGCTGATCAAGGTTGCATTTATTTGATTAAAAAAAAAAGTTTGTAAAAACAATAAAATGTTAAAATATTACATATAAAAAATTATATTATTTTAAGTTTTCTATTTGAATATATTTTAAAATGTAATTCATTGTCTTGATGTCATGTTTAAAACAGTTTTTGCTGCTTAATATTTTTGTGGAAACCATGACACACTACTGTTCAAATGTTTAGGGTAAGTAAGATTACCCTAAAGAAGAAAGAAAAAAAAAATAATACTTTTATTCAGGAACAATAAAGACGTTTTTAATATTACGAAAGATTTCTATTTCAAATAAATGTTTTTTTGAATTTTCTATTCATCAAAGAATCTATGTATTATGTATCATAATAATATCATAAATAGAGTAAATAATTAAGCACCAAATCAGCATATTATAATGGTTTCTGAAGGATAATGTGAGATTGAAAACGTATTTTTTACATTTTAAAATATATTAAAATACAAAACAGCTATTTAAATTGTACTAATATTTCATATTATTAATGTTTTAATATTGTGAAATAATCAAATAAGTGAAGCCTTGGTGAGGATAAGAAACTTCTTTCAAAAGTGCACAAAAAATTTTAAACTTTTGACCGGTAGTTCATGTTGTGTTAACACTATCTTTAAAGGGGTCATATGATGCGATTTTCAATTTTTCCTTTCTCTTTGGAGTGTTACAAGCTCTTGGTACATAAAGAAGATCTGTAAAGTTGCAAAGACTAAAGTCTCAAATCCAAAGAGATATTCTTTATAAAAGTTAAGAGTCAACCACGCCTACCTAAAACGGCTCGTTCTAACACGCCCCCACATACCTACGTCACGATCTGGGAAGATTTGCATAAAGCCGCCCAAATGTCCACCCAAAGAAAGAAGGCGTAACTTTTATCCTCGCTGTAGTATTGTTGGTCGCTGAGGAAATACATCAACTTCGCGCTGTGGATCGCCGGATCAGCCTGGGGTCGTCACATGTGGTTGCCGCAAGCCCACTGGCCGCCCCTTCGTCGAATCCGCCCGCCTCCGCTCACTCAAGCCCACCGTGTGTGACGCTGTGTGTTTCGTTGTGAAAGCGAAACTACTTTGTTTGGCCTTCCACAAGAGGACACGACTAGAAATCAGTGGTTAAGTTGTATTTACAACACTGTTCCAGAACACTTCAACCCAAATATTCAGATGTGTGCAGCGCATTTTGCGGAGGATGAGGACTGTTTCCTGTGAGAGTAGCCTACAATGCCGGTGTCTGTTTCTATAAAGTGGGGCAGTTCCAACTTTGCAAGGACAGTCTGGCACTTCTGACTCACAGCCTGTAAGTACATTTTTTATATTTAAAGAATTTGCCACTGACGACTCAAACGCGAGTTTTGAGCAGTGTAGAGTAGCACTTGTTGTTTGTCATTTCTCCGATCACAAAGGCAGACATGGTTTTATGTTTACACTGCGCGATACGCAACGCGTAAAAAGACAGTGTAAGTCATTATAATCCGTGATTATGTCCCCACTGGATGCAACAAATGCCTCGTTTATAATGGGCTTTACTGTTTTTGTCTCGTCGCTCCGGCCGGACACGGCATCATCATATG